TCCTCAGAATACAGTTTGATCATCATTTGAGTTGAATCCGGTTTCAGTCATTTCTTAGGTATTCTTAAAAACTTGAATAACCAAGGTTGTAGGTATAATAGAAATGCCTTGTCAAAGAGATTTAAGGACACACTCTTTAAATGTTTTAGGGACTGTTACATCATACGATTACACATAGTGTTGCCTTCAGCTCTGCTTGTAATTTCAAATTGTCTGGAATTCGTATCAGTTGTATCAGGGACTCTTGTTTCTCTTTAAAGTGTCACTGATAAACCATCACCATATCCATTCTGTACATTTTTAAAGTAAGCAAAGGTTCAGGAAGGTCTTGTATGAGTAAGTATATACTCTGTGCCAAGCACCATTAATCTCTTCCACTACTGGAATTTGCTTTACTTGACCTTGAATCAGGATGACATGTGAAAATATACATGAAAAGTCTGTAAGTAGAATTTTATATCAGTTTAATTTTCTTTGTATTTTACTTGAATACTGTTATGTACATAAGTGCTAATAGTTGATGTGGTGGTTGGGACCCTCTTTAAAATATTTGTGAGAGACTATATTTAATACATTATTTTATCTAGTTCTTTTTTGATAATGAGGATCCTAGTATGCCTGGCATATAATTGACAGTTTAATTACACAGCAGCCGATATCATTACTTCCAGTCTGTACAAGTTGTAGAAGATAAAGTGACATTTGTTGAGAACCTGCCTGTTGTACTCGCCAATATTACGTGCTTTCTATAAGTTAACTATTCCTTAATTAAACCATTAAGAGCTAGGTGGTAGTTTCATTTTATAAAAGAGATGGTTGAAGCTCAGAGATTTTTTTGCCTCAAGTCCTGCAGTTAGGAAGTGACAGAAGTTGGACCTCAGCCCTTCAGAGTTTGACTGCTTTCTTGACTAACTAGTCATGTAAATTTTCAGAGGTGTCTGTGTGTTCTATAGACCTGTAATTACTAGCTGGTAAAGTTAATATTTTTCGTTGGCTCAGAATATGAGCAGGAGTTGGCAAGGCTGTTGACAGTGCTGGGCTGAGCCTGTTCAGATTGTGTTTTGAGTGCGTGGTTCTTAAATCAACTCCAAAGCTAAAAATATTGTTGTTTGGTCACTTTTGGGGTCACTGTATTTTACCCTTCATTAGCCCATGTGCCTCAATGAATTTATGATGACTTGGAGCCCTGATGGCTCTAGTGATTGTTTTTCTTGTTCTCAGGTTTTTATGACAGGTGACTTTCTTTCTGGTCATATGGCCTTGATTTTACAGGTTGTCCCAGAATCATATCCTAGTTTGGAGTATAAATTATATAGTTGCCCTAGATATTAGAAGAAAAATATTGGATTTGGTCATTATAACTAATTATATTTTGGTTATATTAGCTGAAGGAATTTCATTGCAGATTTGCATTTGGTCTTATTTTCCTCTTTCTAGTTGTTCAAACACAGCAAATGTTTATGTATACTTCTATTTGGATTAATTTTTCAGTTGTAATTTAATTCATTCAAGTACCTGAAATTGTACCAAAGTTATATTCTGATTTTGTGAAACACTGTCAATAAAATATTACTGAGAAGGAAGCCCCCTCCTTTGAGTGGGAGTGTGCTGTTTCAAAACACCTCGTGTTTGAGATTTGGCTAAATCTATTCTGCTCATTGCCACTAGGGGACCACTTACATATTCTACAAATACTACTTTCATTATGGAACAATTTTCTTAAAAATTTACTACTAAGGAACCAACCTACGTACTTATCGTTTTATTATGCTTATTACTTGTCCCACATTTCTCACAGAGATGTACTCGAACTGTGAACCAGCTTAGTCCTAGAAATATAAAAACAAATAATAAGAAAGCTTCATTTTAACTTAAGAAAAATATTTTTTATGTATATTCTTCTAATAATAAAGGAATTCTGCATAGTGGCCTTCCGTGACCCTGGGTTTCGCATTCGCAGGTTCAAACCTTGGATCAAAAGTTCCAAAAAAGCAAAACCTGAATTTGCCACATGCCAAGCAGTACATGCGAATGAAGTGATGTGTAGGCATATCCTGATGTAGCCTATATGCAAATACTGTGCCCTTTCGTATAAGGAACTTGAGCATTGATGGATTTTGGTGTCCATGGGGGTTGTGGAACTAATAATCCTCCATGGGTACAGAGGGACGAATGTATTTTTGTCATAGAAATGTTTGCTGCTTTAAAAGGAAGAGAAATATGTAAAACTTTTATTGTGTATCTTATTTTGAATTATTTTTAAGGAGTGCACAGTTTATCTCCTGAAAGACTGAAGTTCAAGGCTGTGACAATCTCTCTTCATGACTAGAATGTGAAATGTAGTTAGTTGCATTGTATTACAGTGTTTTATATTTTTCTACAAACTAAATTGACCTATTTTTGGTTTTGTTTTGCCTTTTCCAGTCTTTACCAGGTGCTGGTCTCTGGATGTTTTTTTTTTGTTTAGATTGGGAAAATCTTAAACCTGCTCACTGACTGGTATGGTATATGCAGTGTGATAGGACAGTCGGCAGAGACTTTCGAAGAGTCTGAGGCGGCATAGGCACAAAGAGTTAACGGAGCCTTAGCTAGTTTTTTGGCCACTCCCTGTAGGCAGAACATCTTTTCTTTCTAGTTTACCTGCTGTTCTAGAGAGCTTAGCAGTTAGACCCAGCATGGGAATTTCAGTTAGTCTGCGCATTCATCAGGGAGGGTATCCGACTTGATAAACCATATTTGATAGTGAAAACCAATGTTTTCGATACTAGCAGTGTCTCATAGTGATCAAGAAAGGAAGTGCTTGTTTTGTTTCCAAGAATTTTGTTCTCTAGAAAATAAGCTGTTGCAGTGGCTGCTATAACATACACCTTACCCTACCTCCCCTCCAAACAAAAACACAACCAGCTCTGGGTGATTGTCTCTACTTTGAGATAAGAGATGGTCAGTTACTGACATTGAGAAGAGTGACACCTGAAAGGGACCTCTGACCAGCGAGTTAGGCTTATCTGTATGAGTCGAAACAATGGCAAGGACATAGCTTGGATGTTGGATGGCAGGGAGAGCTCCGTTGCAGGCAGGATTTCGTAACTGCCAACAATAGTTTTCATTGTAATTAAGGACCTGACCCTTATACTGAAACATGAAAGGTACCTTTTTAAATAATTAATGTTTATTAGCTGTCTGATAAGATTTTATTAAAAATTTAGGTGGTTCCTCCTAAATAATGTAGAAGTTTTTTTTTTTTTTTAAAGGTTAGAAAGTTTTTTGGGTGGGAAAAATGTCATAGAAATCTGACCACCTTCAGGATTTGGCAAATATGAAGTGATACAAATCCCAACAGTGTATTTTAGGCTTTTGCCTGTGGCAGTCTTATTTATGCCAGTCATTATTGATACTGGCTTTTAGGAGGAAGGATTTTGAGCAGTTTTCTTAGTATAGTTATTGTAGTACTTTATGCTTAAAAAAGGCATAAAGATGGGATTAAGACGTTTCTATCTAGGGCAGCTTTATGAATTAGACCTAATAACCTAATTCGGCGGGCATTTAACTTTAGACAGTATTTCCAGCTTCTTTCCTAGCCAGTGAAAGGTATGTTTTTTAGTCTTTAGTAATTCGTCTATGTTGAATAGTTTTGAAGAGAAAAGACTTTAGTATCATTTATAGGACTTAAGTTTGATACTGTATTTAAAGGAAAATGCCTAGATCAGCTTTGTCAAGCATGGAAAAATATTTCACTCTGAGGTTGCCTGATCACAAAAGCAGAAATCACTTTAGAAGTTAATGTGTTGAAGGCATTAGGTTCAATAACAAAATGTTTTTCATATTTATCTGTCAGCTACAATTATAATTAACTTTGAAGATTCAGAATTTGTATCTTTTCCAGGAGAAAACCCATCAAATTCATAAACTCGACTTTAGGTAAATTTAAATATGTTTCGCAGAATGATTTTGTTAATCCAGAACTGAAAAATATCTGCTTGACTTACCGAAGGTGATTTATCATGTAATAGTTGACAAATGTCTGTTTCATTGAGGTTTGGAAGATATCATAAAAAGCAAATTATTTTCAGTCTTCCAGAAAACTTTTACCTTATCCCTCCTCTCCTTTCTCTACCCTTCAACAAGAAATCATTGAAAGGAAAAAGTATTCAACAAAATCAATCCTGGAGTCAGTGTTCTTATCCTTTCAGAGATTCTCTTGGAATTAATTGCCTGATGAAAAGGAAAGGAAGGAAATTACCTCTTTGAACTTTTTTTTTTTTAATCCAATGTCTTTTTTTCTAGGAGCATAAAAAAAATAAAATTTTAGGGTTGTTTTATAAGGTGTATGTTCCTAGTTTTCTTGAGTGGAATGTTTTTTTTCCTTTTAGGGCAGGAGTCATCTCATAATTTCTAGGTTCCTGTATGATAACTAGTACAGATGTACATTTTAAATAGGAATCTAGGAAAATTTATGACCATGGATTTGTACGGATTAAACATACTTGGTTTTCTGTTTGGGGTTAGATGAAAGCACCTAGTAAACATCACCTGCCTGTTCCATCCAGGAACTTAACTGGCTATAAAAAGTGTGTTACTCTTTGGATTCATAGTATTCAAAGATTCATTTTGGTACTCTTTATGAATAATTAGCATCCCCCCGTCCCTTGAAGATGCTTTAAGATTTTGGTGCCTGTTCGATCTGAAACTACCACAGTTAGATGAGAAAGGGCAATGTCATGGTAGGCAGTTCTTAGTTGCTAAAGTAGGCCACTTAGTTGCTAGGAAGTTACGAGGTCGATGAATTTTTGTGCTCAGTTCAAAATGATAAATATTCTCACTGACTTGTGCTAGTATAGATTACTTTTTCCTGTGGAACTGAAGTATATTTTGAAAGTATTTTTTTTTCTTTTATAAAGAATGTCTTGTTGCGCCGTTTTTGCTAGACTGAAAGTTTCCTCATCGCTTGGTGAGACCCTCCTCTAATTCAATCTTTGTCTTTTGTCTTTGCTGCCTTGCAGGGTTGGTACAGTAGGCTTCACTAGACTTAGCTGCAACTCAGAATTTCTCCTCCAGCACCTGAGTAAATGCTGATGGTCTTGTGGAGAGTGGATTAAGAGTACGAGCTAAGTTCTCAATCCCAATTAAGAAGCGGAGGAAAATTTAAACTGTCTCCTTCAAAGTTTATCACAACCACCACCATCAAGACAGCAAACCAAAGGACAAAGACTTTGACCTGCTCTGTTGCTCTGTGTAGTCCAGTTCACGTATGGTTTACAGACTTGGCTGGGGTACTAATGAGTAAATAAAAAGTCGGACACTTCTGTCATTGGACACTTTTATTCACAAAGTTACCAAAATGAGGGCTGTACTGGAGACAGCAGACATTGCCATAGTGGCCCTGTATTTTATCCTGGTCATGTGCATTGGTTTTTTTGCCATGTGGAAATCTAATAGAAGCACCGTGAGTGGATACTTCCTGGCTGGGCGCTCTATGACCTGGGTGGCGATTGGTGCCTCTCTGTTTGTGAGCAATATTGGGAGTGAGCACTTCATTGGGCTAGCGGGATCTGGAGCTGCAAGTGGATTTGCAGTAGGCGCATGGGAATTCAATGCCTTACTGCTTTTGCAACTTCTGGGATGGGTTTTTATCCCGATTTACATCCGGTCAGGGGTATACACCATGCCTGAATACTTGTCCAAGCGATTTGGTGGCCATAGGATTCAGGTCTATTTTGCGGCCTTGTCTTTAATTCTTTATATCTTCACCAAGCTTTCAGTGGATCTGTATTCGGGTGCCCTCTTTATCCAGGAGTCTTTGGGTTGGAACCTATATGTGTCTGTCATCCTGCTCATTGGCATGACTGCTTTGCTGACTGTCACCGGAGGCCTTGTTGCAGTAATCTACACAGACACTCTCCAGGCTCTGCTCATGATCGTTGGGGCACTCACACTTATGATTATTAGCATGATGGAGATTGGCGGGTTTGAGGAAGTTAAGAGAAGGTACATGTTGGCCTCACCCAATGTCACTTCCATCTTGTTGACGTACAACCTTTCCAACACAAATTCTTGTAATGTCCACCCTCAGAAAGATGCACTGAAAATGTTGCGGAATCCAACAGATGAAGATGTTCCGTGGCCTGGATTCATTCTTGGGCAGACCCCAGCTTCAGTTTGGTACTGGTGTGCTGACCAAGTCATCGTGCAGAGGGTACTCGCGGCTAAAAACATTGCGCATGCCAAAGGCTCTACTCTAATGGCTGGCTTCTTGAAGCTTTTGCCAATGTTTATCATAGTTGTCCCAGGAATGATTTCCAGGATATTGTTTACTGATGATATAGCTTGCATCAACCCAGAGCACTGCATGCAAGTGTGTGGAAGCAGAGCTGGGTGCTCTAATATTGCTTACCCACGCCTGGTGATGAAACTGGTTCCTGTGGGCCTCCGAGGCTTAATGATGGCAGTGATGATTGCAGCTCTGATGAGTGACTTGGACTCTATCTTTAACAGTGCCAGTACCATATTCACCCTCGATGTGTACAAACTTATCCGCAAGAGTGCAAGCTCCCGGGAACTAATGATTGTGGGGAGGATATTCGTGGCTTTTATGGTGGTGATCAGCATCGCGTGGGTGCCAATCATCGTGGAGATGCAAGGAGGCCAGATGTACCTTTATATTCAGGAGGTAGCAGATTACCTGACGCCCCCAGTCGCTGCCCTGTTTCTTCTGGCAATTTTCTGGAAGCGCTGCAATGAACAAGGGGCTTTCTATGGTGGAATGGCTGGCTTTGTTCTTGGAGCAGTTCGTTTGACACTGGCCTTTGCCTACCGTGCCCCAGAATGTGACCAACCTGATAACAGGCCAGACTTCATCAAAGACATTCATTACATGTATGTGGCCACAGCATTGTTTTGGGTCACAGGACTCATTACTGTAATCGTTAGCCTTCTCACTCCACCTCCCACGAAGGAACAGATTCGTACTACCACCTTTTGGTCTAAGAAGAGCCTGGTGGTGAAGGAGAGCTGCTCCCCAAAAGACGAACCATACAAAATGCAAGAGAAGAGCATTCTGAGATGCAGTGAGAATAGCGAGGCCATCAACCACATCATTCCCAATGGGAAATCTGAAGATAGCATTAAGGGCCTTCAGCCTGAAGATGTTAATCTCTTGGTGACCTGCAGAGAGGAGGGCAACCCAGTGGCCTCCTTAGGTCATTCAGAGGCAGAAACACCAGTAGATGCTTATTCCAATGGGCAAGCAGCGCTCATGGGTGAGAAAGAGAGAAAGAAGGAAACAGAAGATGGAGGCCGGTATTGGAAGTTCATAGATTGGTTCTGTGGCTTTAAAAGTAAGAGCCTCAGCAAGAGGAGTCTCAGAGACCTGATGGAGGAGGAGGCTGTTTGTTTACAAATGTTGGAAGAGCCTCCGCAAGTTAAACTAATACTGAATATTGGACTTTTTGCTGTGTGTTCACTTGGAATTTTCATGTTTGTTTATTTCTCCTTATGAACTTTTAAGGACATGTTGAGACACTAACTTAAGAAAATACTGATCTTTGAAAAAAAACTTACGTAACTGTTGCATCTCTCAGGCATTGTTTACGCTGTAGGTTTTAGCCAAATTTTAATTAGCAGAAAATCATCTATTTGCAAGACTTTATTTTCCCAGAGATGGACGAAAGTAAATTTTCAACCTAAATGAAGCAAAACTTGTTTAATAGACTGAATTGTGCAAATGTGGTTTAAAATTTTTCATACCAAAGTAAGGAGAGACCAATTATTCTCATAGAGCACTTAGAACAGAATATATGCTAAGATATCACGAATAAGGTATACTGTCTGCACTGCCAAATCATGGTAGACCTTGTTAACCTGAAGTAGAAGACTTGATCATTTTAAAGTTTTTTTGTCTGTCTCTGTAATCTCTACTATTAAAACAACAACAACAACAACAACAACAAAACGGAATTTGTAGACATTGTGTAATCAATTGTGTACTGAAAATCTTATGTGCTAGTGGGGTACTTGTTTCAGGACAGATTAGTTGCCGGGTTCATTTTGTTAGCATGAGCCTGTGGGTTCTGATTGCCAAAAGAAAGGAGGAAGAATGTCTTCCTGTAGCTGTTCTTGTACCACCAGTATATGGAATGTTGGGAAAAAGTTTGTTCCACTCCCTTTTTTTTCCTATTTTGACTGACATTTAAGTGAACCATACTCAAATGACCATCAAGTTTGTCTTTATAAAGTTATATGTTATGATTGTATTAAATGATTATGGGGGAGAAGATGAAGTAAACATTGCTGATGATCCCCACATTTATTGACCAAATTAAGGTTGTTTATTTTAGGAACTGGCAGCCCCTAAGCAGTGTTTTGATCAGTTTATGCCAAACAGGTAATTACTCATGCTCCACTAATTCTGTAGATATGATGTTGCCATTTGGTGACATTCTTTATTAGCCAGATGTCTTCCAGGTAGATCCAGTTGGAAGATGTGTCCAGAAATTTGAAGAAAAATTAACACTGCCTTCGCGCTGGGTTGTCCTGCTTGATTAAATCACAATACAGTGAGGTCGAATTTTTAGGTGGAAAATTTAATTCTGAGATCATATTACATCCTTAATAAGTTTTTTTCTTGATATATTTTTTTTTCCAAAAGGCTTGCCATCTATACCTGGCCTCTACATTTTTGCTTAAAATGTTACACTGACTTAGAGCATGAGGATATTTCAATGCAAACCGGCCATCAGTAACAGAAAACTCAGAATGCATGCTTTGCTGTGGGTAGATCGTCAGTATAGTCTTTCTATAGAATGGATAGCATGTCGAAGAGGTGCCACAAACAAGAACTTCTGGGTTTAGTGGTGTGTCTTATGGAGGATATTACAGGACTTGCATAAGTAATTATAGGACTCTTTATCTTGACATGACTTGGTACACAGTCACAACCTTCATAGATGGGAATCTGTTTTTCACAGACTGATTCCCCTTGCTGAGGACAGGGTACAAAAGATGTTAGAGCCAAGCTCTACAGATTATGTAGTTCTGTGTCTTTGTGTACAACGGTGTCCTTTTTCAAAAACTCCATGACAGATGAAGGAAACTGATTGTGTATCTACTTTCTTTGACTTTTCTGTAATCTCTGATACTTTCTAAAGTGCATGATTTTGTTAAGCTTATATTTAGGGAAAATTATTACTTTTTTAGGTACTTTTGTAGATTTTGAATCAAAACTCAGTCCTAATGATTTTAAATATTTTGTATTATATAACCTAGTTTCATTATAATGGACTTAATTAGTCCAAAGTTGATCTTAGAAATTATCAGGTAGCATAATGTCTTCCCATCTCCAGGAGGCTTTCTGATAGACTGAGTCTGTAGTGAAAAAATAATTCACGTGTGAATAGCATGATTTCTGAGAGCTTAGAGTGCCTTGTAGTATTTTTCTTCTCAATGCTTATGGTTTATAAGTTGGGGGCCAAGTAAATAGGGACCATTCTTTTGTATGGAGGCTGGGGTTGTGACATGTCCAGGGTTACAAAGTCCACTGTAAAGAACCGAAAACTAGGTGTTCAGATCTGGACTCATGGTTTGTCCTTTTCTCAAAGAACTGTTCCTCCTTTGAGACAACCTTTTGGTATTTGGAGAAATAATAGGATCTTAGATTTTTCAAAATGGCATCAAGTTGTAGGAATTTAAATTTTCTTTGACTCTGAATACACTGCTGTATATTACTCAGTAGTAATGATTGACACTGGCTGAGCAGCCTTCTTCCCCTTTTTATTTACAGCGTAAATAAATAGATGGTGTTTATGGAGAGTCTCCCCCCTTTACTTAATGTTAGTCCTAACAGTTTGTAGTATAGGGTCCCCTACTTTCTCTCTGCTGTTGTCTTAGTATGATACGTAAAATACATCATCTTGTGTCTCTGTGTGTGTAAATAGCCGTAGGTCAAGTTTAGAGTACTAATGCCTGTAAATAAGGAATGACTATTAGCATATCCGTTAGGATTGTTTATTCTTGCCAGTATAAACATCACTTTATTTAGACTGAAGTCCCTGAAGCTTGTCCTCCTTATTGCTTCCCAGTAATAGACAATGTGCTTAAAGTATGTGAATTTCTGATTGCAACTTCATTTCAGGGGACCATTCTTCAGTCTGTTTTTCATTAGAATGATTGTTCATGGAATGATACATGGTCTGTCTTAAGCTAGCAAAATGTTCATAGTTTACACTAACTAAATGGGTCCTAAATGGTGACATTGATCTCTAGGCATTAACATGTATATATTTTTATATTGGCTCAAGCTAAGGTTCAGAACTGACTAAGTGAAAGTGACTAAAACAGCTAAGAGTCAAATCAGAGTGAGGACACTGATCTTCACAGGTGGGGGAAAAATGGTCTTATTTGCTGTTAATGGTATCCCCAGTTCTTAGATTTTTGTCCTCTCAAGCATCTTAGTCTCAAGATCGGATGAGAAGAGCTTATTACTCTAGTATGTAGAATGATTATTGGTTCCTTTGTTGGACTTCTAATTTCTCTGTTTGAGAATTTTTTTTGTCCTGCCACCCCAAGATAGTAAGCAGCTTTTGAAACAGCTGAGCCATTCTTTTTCCTTGGCTATTCTTTCCTGGTGAGGCTGTCACTCTCATCTTTAGGTTAGAGAAGCATCAAGCAGTAGCGATGGTGCAGTGTCCTTAGGCCTAAATATAGCAGTTCTGATCTCCTGAGGCTTCTTTTTGTCTTGGATCAAAGGATTCATAGTCTTTTTTTGCACAAAGAGAGGCTAGTAGCCATAGCTCTTAGGGGTGGCGCCCGAGTAATTAGCAGGGACCCATCAGTGAAACCTCAGTTTTAAGAACTGAGTGGAAAGGTTGCTATCTCTATTCTCTAACCCGAGTGGGGCGAGGGGGAAGCTGAAAAGTCTTGTCAGGGCTTTAAGAGTTTTTAAGTTTATATTTCTCAGTACATTGCTTTCTTCCCTGTACTGGTGTGTGGATCTTCCCTCCCCCCCCCCCACCATATCTTTTAACATACTCTTGTGAGTTTAACATACTGTGGATTATTATTCCTTACCACCCTATAGACTGGCTATATTATTAGCTATTAAAAGGTTAGACCTGCCAGTGTTGCCACTTGGCACTATTCAGCTTACTTGCTTTCCTTACACTTTACTCCTCTGTCATTTTCATATGAGTATGGTGGCTCGAAAGGACCACATGGGTATCTAGTAGTGACACCTCACCATTCCCCACGTTTAGGTTGAGTGAGATACAAAGACCATCTCTGTTAAATTATGTGACTACAGAGACTTGCCAGGACAAATTTTCCTAAGAAGTCAGAAAAACTATTAAGTGAAATGCTGAGAAGTACCTGGGTGATACATACTTAAGTTGGTAAAAAATAAAAACTTAAAATGTGCAATGTAGAATTATATTCATTGAATTCTATAACTTGAAGCATCTTGGCTATCAGCTAGCTTAAACCCCTCCCCATATAAATTAGGATACCAGTGAATAAGATCTGGCCTGTTCAACCCTGGTTTGATGTCATATTTGAGGTTAAAATGACTGATATTTGCAGTGATACTTTAGTAGGAAAAAATGCTTTTAGGCTTCAGTATTCATAAGATTTCTCATTAGCCAGGTGACTAAATGACTAATTGCTTAAATCATTTCAATGTTGACATTAGCCTGAGTGGCCTTTACAAATGGGGGGTATATTTTATTTGTGTGTATACCCACCTAACCATTCAGAAAGACTGGTCTATCCACTTATTTTTCTTCCCTCATTTTAATTCTTCACCTGTTCTTTCTTTCAGTACTTATCAGATTGCTGTTTTGATCTTTTGTCAGCTTAATTCACTTTCAGGCTTATTGCCATGGTGTGCAAAAGTGCTGCTTTGCCCAAGTTTTGAAAACTTGGATCCGAATAATGATTCATTAGGTGTGTTTTAAGTAATACTAAATTTCTGTTAGTTAAACTGTTAATTCTTAAGAATGATTTTCTGAGAATTTGTATTCACTAATAATAAAAATCCTAATAATTCATCAGTATTCTCAAAACTCCTTTTATAAAAAATCAGAGAGGCAGCAATGGTTAAAATTCATGAGTCTCTTTGAAATGATGGTATCACAGTGCAGAGAGGAACGGAATTTGTTTTGATGCCAAAAAGCCTTGTTCTTGCGGTAATTCAAGGTAAAAATTTGGAGCCAGTCAGTTGGCTTATATAGAAACCCTTTTGTATTAGGTATGAAGCTGGATTACATGAGAAGTAATCTTTTGATAACTACACTTGGTTAGGCTTGGTTGACTTAACTCTGGACTGCAGACTGCTTTTCTTCTAAGGTCACTTCTCTTAATTTGGCATGTTTTTCGTTAAACTCTCCCCTCTGTTGGAAGGACTAGGTATATAGGTGGACTCCTAGAACAGAATTTAGCTAAGATTCAAAACAGTTAATAGGCTTTGCCAATGCCGAGTCCCACACCATTACTCACTTAGTCATATAAATGTTTTTATTTAAACCTCTCTCTCCAGTGCTGGGACTAAGGCTTTAAACTACTGGTTCACTTTTAAAGGAATGTCGTGAGAATTGATGAAATTTCTGTTTGTTTCTATTCATCTCAAATTCTTTATAAAAGATAGGATTTAGTTTTTGTTTTGGGTGTAAGCACCCCATTTTCTGATAACTAACAGTCTTAACCATTGGCATATAGTCTTTTACTCAGAAATAAAAAACATTTGATGTATCTGTATCATTACTCATCTCCTGAACTTTACTTTCTTAGGGGAGTACCATAATCTGAAGCTGTTGACTTAAATTATTAATCTTACTTTACGTAATAACTTTTTAAGGTTGATTTAGTTACCTGGATTCATACAGTATGTTTGAAGAGAGGGATACTAGAATAAAGCAGCTGAAGTGCAGGTAAAGACAAAGCACAGTGGTCTTCGATTCATTCCTCTTAGAGTAGTAGCAATGGCTTTGCTCTCCTCAGAGAACACTATACTGTATATTCCATGACAATACCCACTCCCCACACCAGTTCAAGACAGTTTGCAGTCATAGAACTCTATCCATGAGGGAAATATATATTTTCAGTGATTTTTGGCAACAGCACAAGCTGACAGTAGATAATCACAACCTTGTTGGAGACTTATATCTTGGAAAATTTGCCTTGTATCCTAGAGCTACTGGATAAAGGAGTGTTTACTTTTTGTTATGGCCTCTGGACTAAGCCAGTCTAGATAATTTTTCAATATATCAGTGTAGGATAGACTTCTTCAAGTGGAATGTTCCTTAATAACTCACTTTTTTTTGTTATAATAATTAGAAACTGAAATTAAGCTCATTACTATTACTGAAATCCCAAATTGGCAAAGGCCAGTATATAGGTTATTCTGTAATATAATCAGCTTCTGAAATTTATGTGTTTTGATTAGTGCCTTCTGGTTGCCAATATTGACTCTGCTAGTTTACACCTTTCCCTTTCTTGATTGAAAAGTCTTCTTACAATTTCTCTTTTTAAATTTTGGTATAACTAGTGAAGTAAAAAAACACATTGTATTTACATACTTTATATGCAGCCTTTATTTTAGGTTCAAGGAAACCAGGTAGCTCTAATTCATGTTGCAGTTTAAATGTTATTTATTATCTGTATTTGTTTCTTTTATTTCCTTAATTATAAGTATAAGGTTACTTATATTAATTCTGAGTATTTTTAACTATCGTTTTCCAGTGTAGGTTTGATAGGTATACCTGAGAACGCGTATGTGACAACAGTATCACATTCCGTGATAGGGAAAAGCTTAAAGTAGAAGTCCACAGAAAGCACAAAATTATTTCGCATGTGTGTATCTCCACGTGTAGAAAGCACAAGACTAACGGTATTCTCATATCCCACAAGTGCCAGTCATAAAGCCCACCTAGTGTATGTCTGGGGAGTTGTTAGGATGGAGGACCACAGTACTGAAAGCCCTAGACCATGAGATATCTTAAGTTATGGGTGCTAAATGATAAGCGATTCGACGTAGTATTCTGAATGTTTGTATTTCTTTGGTGGAGGGAGAGAATACAGATATCAGGAATACTACGATTATATTTAGGGTTACTAGCTAAAATAGGGTCTGTGGGCTCTTTCCTACAATCTGGAAGTAAAGAAGCAAGGATAGATTTATAGGTTTTTGGTGGGTGGAACAGTTTGACAAACTTTTGCTTTAAGCCGTAGAGTCATTGTAGGTTTTTTGTTGTTTTTATTTTAAATCTTTTTAGTAAATTCAACCTCCCATCAATAGTACACTAAAAACATGGAGAAAGGTCACACTTTAACAGGGGAAATACTTTAATGTTTGTATAGGTTTGTATGTAAGAGATGAAGTTAACTTTATTTTTTCATATGCACTTCATATAAATAGAGCAGAATTTGATCCAGGTGTTCTGAGCATCAAATTGATTTTGAGACAGATCTGCCAAATGATGAACTACTTTGCTTTTCACAATTGTTGTAAGAGTCTAAAGGGATCTTTTGCCTGTCCCATTACCCACTTCAAGCCTAGACTAGATGAGATCTGTGAACATGGGTGCAAAAGAAGGTGATGTGTTTTGTTCTGCTCGCCATTGCCATGATCCTATCCCCGACTTTCTTCACCTAAATAGTCCGTTTTTCAAGAATGAATAAATAAATCTTTTTCTTGGGTTTTGCCCATATCTCAAAACATGTAACTCTCAGAATGAGAGAGAAGTGACTGCTTTTGTTCCCACTCTCCTCTATTTCGTGGATTTATCTTCTTAGGGAAAGGCTGGGTTAACTTT